GGGGATGAGTGTCTTGCAAGATATTCTACCCACTCAAGCCAGAGGGAGTGGTTACAAGATGCCCTGGCGTACTTCCCAGAACACTTTCCACCCCTTACAATGCCATGCTTTATACACAGAGATGTATCATGTACTAACCCACCGCCATCATTATTTAATTAATTAAAATGGATTTCGTGGTGATTTGAACGAGAAGTCCCATGTAATCAGGCATTTGAATACTTGGCCCTCAATTGGTGGCACTTTTGGGTAAGTTTAGGCGGTGTGGCCTTGGTGGAGGAAGTATGTCACTGGGGGTGGGCTTTGAGGTTTCAAAAGCCATCACCATTCCCATTTGCTTCCCGCTTCCTGCTTGTGATTCAAGATAAGTTCTGGCTTTCCAGCTCCTGCTGCCACGCCTGCATCCTGCCCTCATGATAGACACATCCCTCTGGACCTGTAAGCCCCGATAGAAGTCACCTTCTAAAAGTCACCTTAGTAATGTGTTTTATCATAGTAACACAAGTTAGAATATAAAAAATAAAACAAGATAAAGATGCCAGGAACCCCCTGGAAATAAAGAGGCTGGGGTAAGCGGGAACATGTCTATATTCCTATGGGTAGCTTAGTCTCCAAGGCATGTGAAAATCTGTGAGTTTCTTTATGTGTGTCAAAACAGTGCAGAAGTACAAAGCACAGTGCGGTCTCACTTTGTTACTTAACAAGAGTACGATCAAGAAGTTGTTGAAATGCCAAAACAGATCCTGCGTTGTGCTGGATGTATAAACAGGCTCTGCAAACTTCATTTGAGAAGTCAGGTTTAATTTCCTGGACAACGTTGCAGTCCTTGAGGCCATGGTACTGGGGCACCTGACAGGAAGTCCTTGTCTATGAGGAAGGCTGTGAGGGGAAAAACGAAGAGTTCAGACTGAAGCCTCTCCCTTTTATATCGGCGACTGGTGGAGCTCTCTTCACAACCCTCTTTCCCAGAGGCAGCTGCATGTCTGAGAGGAGGAAAGCAGAGACATGTCATCCAGTTTATCACCTGCACTCGGAGCTGCACTGGCAAGGGGTAGACACTGCAGTGTTTGGTGATGGGAGCTGAACTGAGAGGCATCTGAGCTTGTACTGGACTTCACCTGATTTCTGTCCCCGCCACGGAGCTAAGACACCTGGCTTAATTCTCTAGGGCGGTGCCTGTCTTGGCGAGGGTTGCTATTGCTGTGACGAAACACCATGACTAAAGCAACTTGGGGAGGAAAGGGTTTATTTGATTTCTACTTCCACACTGTAGTTCACCAATGAAGGAAGTCAGGACAGGAACTCAAACAGGGCAGGAGTCTGGAGGCAGGAGTTGATGCAGAGGCCACGGAGGGGTGCTGCTTGCTGACTTGCTCAGCCTGCTTTCTTATAGAACCCAGGACCACTGGCCTGGGGAGGCACTACCCATGATAGGTTGGACCCTTCCCCATAAATCACTAAGAAAATGCCCTGCAGTTTTATCTACAGTCTGATCTTTGGAGACATTTTCTCCAAGTGAGGCTACCTCTTCTCAGACGACTCCAGCGTGTGTCAAGTTGATATAAAGCTAGCCAGTACAGGGCCTTTTCATGGGATCTCTGACAGTCTTACTCTAAGTGGAGGAAGGACACCGAGGTTTCAGGGAGAATCAGGGTACCAGAGGAAGGAGTTTGTGGGAAAGGTGTTTCTGAGCCGTGTCACGCGAGGTCTCAGCTTCCCCTGTGCAGAAAGCTGGTACATAAGAAGGTCCCTCTCACTCAGAGTGGGAAGTCACTTCTCGGTCTGTATTCTTTGATGACGGTGCCTCTGGGCTGAGGAAAACTTAGACATTTCCGGAAGCCTCTACAGTTTGAATGGTTGGGATGTCAGCTTGTTTTCTGGGCTGGACTTGCACAGCCCAGTTGGAAGAACAGCTGGAGGTCATGCTATCTCTGGTTGCAGCGGGTCACCAGCCTCTGGGTCTTCAGCCTCCAGAATCTCTGTGCCCTGGCTGGGCACTCTGGGGTCCTACTTTGTAGTTCGGACATTGAGTCTGAGGTGTTCTCCCCTAAGGGACCCTGGACTGCAGAAATTATATTTGCAGCCAGGGAATTTATTTATAATTTGCTACAGATGGCCAGTGTGGTTTTCTCAGCTTTACTTCTTCCTTTTGCATTTTCCCACACCCACGCCCACTTACAGTTGGCAGCCTTCCCAGTACCTTCATTGGGGATTTACATTAATAGTCAGGTTTTGGTGGCAAGGGCGGGTGGCACAGGGAGAGAGTGAACAAGCAAATTAGAGTGAGAGAGAGCATGAATCCCCAGGTGGATTTCCTGACCCCTGCTTAATTATGAATGTCACACCACTGATTCTTTACACTTATGAATTTAATGTTAAATAGAAGTCAGTCTTGTGGCCAGGAAGACTGACATGCTCCTTGGCTGCTATAGAACTGGATGGGGAGAGGGCAGCTCTTAAGGAAGTAAGGCTGCTGCCATAGCTTCTACAGAGAGGCAGTGAGGGATGCAGGATGGAGGTGAAAGGCCGAGAGAGAGGTGAGAAAGCGTGGGATTGTGGAGCTGGAACGCCCACTCAGTGATGACTGACAAGTGGTCTTGGTCAATTTATCCAGCATCTTCAAGATTTAGCTACTGCCACTCGCAAAATTGTTATGATCACCAAATGGAATGATATATGTGAAAATATTTACTGTCCCATATAAGGCAATTCATAAGTAGTGTTTTATCTTTCCTTCATTAGGAGAGAATGGGAATAAAAGCCAATGACATGAAAATCCCCATGCGCTATTAATGCAGCTCCCATTTTTCTTTTCCATAATATTTTCATAATGCTTTAAGCCATATGTGTAATTGTTTCAACATTTAATTTTCCACTGAATTATTTAATTACATTTATGACAAGCATGTATTATTTTGAGCACATTAGTGGGGCCATTAGCTTATTCTAATGGATTGACAACATAGCCAGACACTTTCAGTGCTGACTTTGTGTTGATAGAAAATTATGTTGTCTGCTGTAGATTTATCTTGCTTCAACCATGCTTTAATCAAATGGAATCCTTTTAAAGTCTAGATAAGAATCCCCCTAGAGGAAAGGAGCAAGAAGATTTTCTATAGAAACCATATTTAAGCCTGAACATTTATCAGGCCGGTAGCTCCTACTTTTGCCCTCCAGTGTAGCCTAGCAGATAATGCTTGGTGGGTTTGTTGCTTTTAGGGGAGAGGTGAGCTGTATAACAGAGGAGGAGTAATACTTTTAGATGTTTCTTTTTTCCAGGAGTAAGTAGACCTTGTGCACATCTGGAGCTTGTGATTTCTCTGGTCCCAGATGGGTTTGCAGCCCCCACTTCTGTGGAGACCCGCTGCCTGCCCCAGCTCTCACTGCCTTCAAAGGGATTTCTTTCTCATCAAGGTAAGAACATTGACCGCCAACCCTTCCCCAGTTAGTGCTTCAAGACAAGACAGGCTGATGGATGCAGGGTTTCCCATTTAGTGCTCTCAGATTTTTGGACATCCAAAGCGGCACTGAATCAAACACACTTTTCAACACCTTTGTTCTCCCTCAGCTCCTGGAGTCTAGGATAGCCTCTGACTTATAAGCAGGGTTTGAAAGGAGCCATGCCGACTTCCTAACCCTATAATATTTGTCCCCTGTTAAATTGTCAAAGTTCTCGCTTATTTACTGGGGAGTAGAGATGAGGCTTGAGTGCTAATTGCAAGGTTTCTGAGCATAGGCAGTGGTGGTTTGAAAATACATTAGCAATGGCTATGTCCCACCTACTGCTGCATGAGTTGCAAAACAAGCCTTGTTGAAGGCCAAGTCCCCACTTAGGAGATACTAGAAGTGTCACAAGGTAGGATATACAATGAGATTTAAGTCCTAGAAGAAGATTATGATACCACAACTCCCTTTCTTTCTCCGTTGGTTTCTGGCATTTAGGAATTGGCTTTGTTCTTCACTCACTGGCAGGATTTGGCTCCTTTCCCCAGGTCCAAAGGCAAGGAGGCGACTTGGTTATGTCCTGGAAACTCCAAATGTGTGAGCACCGAATCAACTTTGGTTCTTCCTAAATTGATTATGTCAGGTATTCGTTACAATGATTTCCTTCACCTGCCACGAGGCTCCTCTGGGGTCATTCCAACCATTCTCCCAGGGTGTCTGGGACAGACACTGGGCTTCCATAAACCTCAGTGGAGATCCATGGTGGCTCTGCAGGCTGGGAGAGGAAACTGTACCCCCAATGCTGAGCAGTCTCCTCAGTTCACATTAAGTCAGCACACCGGAGAGCTTGCAGGAAAAGCAAAATGAACAGACAACATGAAGGCGATTCGCACCAAGCTAGAGCCTCCAGGATGCAGTCTAATGACTACATGATTTTGTCTACAAACTGTAAGACACACACACATCAAGTGAGTGTGTGTAAAGAAATCAGTTGGAAAATCATGCTCGGCTCTTCCAAAATAGGATTTGTTTTTCTTTTCTTTTTGAGGTGTGGGGAGAAAAGGTAAACATATTCGTTTGCCTTGTAGAAAAGCAGAGAAGAAATACTGGCCCAGATGCCTCAGGTAGAAAGCAAGCAGTGGGGTCAGGTGGATGAGTAGGGAGGGCCAGAGAGAGGGCCAATTGCCTTGAGAAGAGAACTCCAAAACCAGGAAATGAAGACTCCGGCCCCTGGAATGAACTAGGCTTTTTTTTTTTAAATCTTGGTGTGACTATTTCTACACTCATCTACTCCCAAATTATTTTGGGATGGGTTGCTTGTGTCCAGCCCAATCTTGGCATAAGGTATGTCATGGGTCTTTTGTTACAGCTTCAGAGTCTGACCCGAGGCACATGATGGGAGTAAGGAGGACAAAACACCATCTTCTGGTACTAAAGACACTTACACACTAACACACATACTAACATCATTATATTGGTGGTGGTGGTGGTGGTGGTGGTGGTGTGTGTGTGTGTGTGTGTGTGTGTGTGTGTGTGTGTGTGTGCACGCTTGTGTTGGAGCTGGTAGTGACCTATTCTTCCTTTTCTGCATACATTCTTCAGGGGCTTTAGGTGTCACTTCTAACAACACTTCACCATGTCTGTTCTTCCGTGGAACACCTGGAGCTTCTGTTTATTGTTGACTTTTCTAGTTACAGCTTTGGATCCACTAAAGAAGCCTGGTTTTAGTGCTGATTTACGTGAGCTGTCATCACCTCTGTGTGCTTATATGTGTGCAGTATGCACACACTTTCATCTGTGCTCTAAGCTCCAGGCCCCATCCTGACTGTTTCTTAGCTCACAGATAGTTAGACAAAATGGCCCCTCGTGGGCTTAGACAAGATGCTGGGCCTAACTGAGGCTGTTTTCCCTGTTATAATTTGTCACTGACCCCTTGTGAGGGGTGGAACAAAGTCCCTGCCTGTTCCTGTCTCACACTGCTCTGAGGGGAGACATGAAAAATCTAGATTTGGTAATAGGCCTCTGAGGGTCTTGTACATTATTAGTTAAAGGAATAATTCATATTAAGAACAGGTTGTTGGGATGGAAAGACAGTCAGAAAAATGGAACAAGCAGCTCCCATGACAGGCTACAGCAGCATGAGGTGTGTGGGGGCCATACTCCTCATACTTGTAGTCTTATGGGACTGATGACACACACACCAGACCTGGCTACATGACTTGGCAGGTTAAGGGCTAAGTTTACTGCAAGGTTAGTGATTCTATGTGATTTGGATACAAACTGATCAAGATGTCCCCTCCCCCTTCCCTTTTTGAGACAGGCTATCTCTGTGTAGGTCCTGACTATTCAACTCACTATGTTGACCAGGTTGGCCTTGAACTTACAGAGATCTGCCTGCTTCTGCCTCCCGGATAGACTGTTCCTTTTCTGAAGAGGGGTTAGATAGTAGAATCCAACCTACCAAGATTCTCTAAGGTAAAGTACTAGGTTCCATGACAACAGAGAGAAGTGACAGATGGCTGAGATTGGTTCTCCCTCCAGGAAGTGAGGGAGATGGATGTGTAAGCACTTGACTATAATACAAGGATGAGTGACATCAGCATGTAAACAGTTGCACACAGTGGGGCCTTCACAGGGGGAATGACTGACAGCTGCACACAGTGGGTCCTTCACAGGGGGAATGACTAACAGCTGCACACAGTGGATCCTTCACAGAGGGAATGACTGACAGCTGCACACAGTGGGTCCTTCACAGGGGGAATGACTAACAGCTGCACACAGTGGATCCTTCACAGAGGGAATGACTGGCAGCTGCACACAGTGGGTCCTTCACAGGGGGAATGACTAACAGCTGCACACAGTGGGTCCTTCACAGAGGGAATGACTAACAGCTGCACACAGTGGGTCCTTCACAGGGGGAATGACTAACAGCTGCACACAGTGGGTCCTTCACAGAGGGAATGACTAACAGCTGCACACAGTGGATCCTTCACAGAGGGAATGACTGGCAGCTGCACACAGTGGGTTCTTCACAGGGGGAATGACTGATTTCAAAGCAGACTTTGAGGAAACCTTTATAGGAAAGGAAGAACACCTATTCAGACTCCAGCAAGCACAGAGGTGAGGGAAAGAATCTCACAACTCATCTCATGCTCAGGTAATCTCGCTCTCCTGGCAACTGATGAGGCTGTCTGGTTAACCACCATGTGCTTTTTTGAGTTCCAAACTGTAGACCCTCCACTAAAGAAGCAATCAAGACTCCTGAGGGTCCCTGGGACCCTGCCATCCCCTGGACATGTTCTACAAAGCTAAAGCCACCTTGGGCAGAGGTGGGTACTGAGATTGTGTTCGGAGGGAGGGCCTTGTAAAACTCTGACATCAGGGCACATTAGAATGTAGATCCAGACTACTTCATTCACCTTGGGACATTCCTCTTTCCTGTGGCATATCTACTTGCTATCGGAGGTTGCTCTGGGTTCCTGGTTCTTCTCAACTCTCCCTTCCCATTAGCCAAATTACACTCTTACCTCTGAACTTTTATTCACATAGAGATTTTGTGTCTCGGTTTTTATGCCTTCATGATCATCACCACATGATTCTAGGTAATGCAGTGGAGTTAACTGTTTGCTTAAGAAAACACACACACACACAGATGCACACATTTACATACATACTCACATACACATTCATACACACATACACATATATACATACCAAGTCACCCACGATCTAGGAAAACCATGGTCTCCCAGTAGCTAGCCCTTCCCCCACCCCTGCCCCCTATGACCTCCAAGAGTTCCCTTCCAAGCTAGTGTCCAAGCCTCTCTCCTTGGCCCCTTTTGTCAACATTGTGGATGAAGACGGAGTGAGAGTGCCCTTTATGACCCAGTCAGAGGAACCAATAAATACTTTAAATCTCTGTTGTTCATGTAGAATTCTCTATTGTTTTTGAAAGCCTTAATTCTTTTGAACAAGGGACCCTGCATTTCAGTTGGGTGCCACAAATTATGTGGCTTGTCCTTAGGCTGGGTTCCTGCTCTGCTTCACGATGCTCAGTCAGGGAACCGGAGGGATCCTGTCCTGTCAGATCCTCCTGTGTCTGAGTCACACTGCTTCCTTCTCTTCTCTTCTCTTCTCTTCTCTTCTCTTCTCTTCTCTTCTCTTCTCTTCTCTTCTCTTCTCTTCTCTTCTCTTCTCTCTCTCTCTCTCTCTCTCTCTCTCTTTCCTTTTATTGATTCTTTGTGGATTTCACATCACGCATCTCTATCCCACTCATCTCCCCATCCCTTCATAACCTCCCTCTGCACTTGCAGCCCTCCCCAAGATAAAACAAAATAAAACTTAAAATAAAAGAAAGAAAAGATAAACTCTTGCCGTGGGAGCTGCAGTGTGACGCAGCGAGTCTCACAGTAGACCCTTTGGTCCAGACATCTTTACTTGGTCGTGCTATTGCAAGAAGTCACTGTTTTGGTTTGAGGCATCTGGCTTCTGCTACACTATGGACACTGGACCTTCACTAGGACTCCTCTTGGATATTCTGTTGTTGCCCTGTGTCACGGGGATCCTGCAGCTTTGGGTCTGTGGGTCAGACCCCTTCACGTTCTCCAGCAGGTCCTAGATGGGGTGGATGCACCTGGGTGGTTGCTGGGTTGCTCATCCCACCCGCTCTACCCTATCCTCACCACCAGGGTGAGTTCTCCAGCACCGCACTGGCCAGCTCATTTATACCACCTCTGTGCTGCCCAGGGGAGGTGCAGGGTCCATCCTCCTGAGTGCTGCTCCTGGTGAGAGGCAGGGTCAGCTCTTGCCCTTGTGACCTCAGTACCAGCTCTCCCAGCTACCACAGGCAGTGAGAGGTAGGGAGGGGGCACTGTATGGCAGATGATGGGGTGGAGCGTTCTCATGGCTGGTTCACCCAAGGCCCCCATCAACAGGGTCAGCTCTTCTGTGCTGGGCCTGTTCTCCCTAGTGCTGCAAATTTCCCTCACCCACACCACCACATGGCAGATGACGGGGAAGAACTAATTCCCCCACTCTCACACCCTCAGGGCAGTTGGCTCTCATACCTGACAACAGGCTCAGCTCTGTTATGCTGCCCAGATGAGGTGCAGGACCCTCTCTGTCAAGTGCTGTGACACACCTGTGAGGGGCAGGCCCAGTTCTACCTAGAGTTTCAGTCAGCGAGGGGTGATGCCCTACGGACATCAAGACAGAGCAGGACTGTGGCAGGGCACACAGGCATGGCCCTTGGTGGCAGCCTAGGCCCAGACATCACCACGGCCCTGGGTGGCAAGCAGGCCACCGACCTCAGCCCATTCCTCACTGCCTTCACCTCTTCAGATTTGCCTCTCTCCACAGGACATGAGACATTCTGTCTCTCTCTCTTCTACACCTCACCCTGTACTTCCTCACCAAGCAGAGCTGGACCACCTGGCGCTACCAGGCCCGTATTGTCTCCTCTGGTCAGTCTCTATCCATGGTAATTTTCTAACTGCACAATTTCTAACAAGCAATGATTCCACTCTCCTTCTCCAGCATCCCATGGTGATAAAACACTTTGAATAATAATCATTAGGCAACTGTCAGTCACTCAAATCAAAAGATCCCACACACGTATTTCTTTAAGGACAGATTTCCCACCTTGATGCTCATCAGGACAAGGAGGACGAACAGTGTTTTCCAGATGTGTTTCTGAAAAGATCCCGAAGAACAGCTGCCTTGGATTCAACCGCTTGGCTCCTGGGAGCAGCCGATTGGGTGGGAAGCAGTGTGTGTGGGGGTGTGGTCCTTAAAGGCAGTCAGCTGGCCCCTGAAGGAGGCCCTTCCCCTTCCTGCACTCACACATTTGTGCCATAAACTGTGCTTCCCTCATGATTTAATCTGTGTGGAATTTCAAAATCAAACCCCGAATAACACATTGCATCAAATTATTGACAAGGTTTACCTTTGCTCTTTGGCTGTATGGCTGACTCATTCCATCTTAAGGGCAGGTCTAGTGTCACGACCGTCCTGTTTCATGGAGTTATGGTAGCTGGTGCCCAAGTGCCTAGGTGAAGGCATCTGAGCCTTTTGCATTGCCTTCTCTCTGTCCTCACTGTCTGCCCTCCTTGCTTGGCATATGATGGGTTATATACTCTAACAACGACCCTTTCTTTCCTCTGGAATACTTTTCCTACTTTTCTTTATTTGACTAACAGACTCACTGAGAATGCCACCATTCTCTCTGGAGTGTCTTCCTTTAAACAACATGGAACCATACCATATTCCCCTTCTCTGGTGGGCTTTCAGCTTATCTGTGCAATTCAATTTCTTTAAAAGTGTAAGTTGACCTTTGAGACCTCTAAATACTTTATAGGAGGAAACTATGCTGTCTAGCACTGAATACAGACACCTGAATAGTGAGTGTTTGTGAGGAGATTCTAAATGCTAGGCTTTCAAGGTAATATTTCAGTTACTTCCCAGTTAGTAGTAAGACTGAACTGAAAAGCCACAAGAAGGTTTCAAAATGACAAGTGGTCAAGTAAAGAGCAGTTATGTAAGGAAGTGAGTAATAAGGATTGTTTGCCCCCACTGGTAAGGTCCTACCAGTTGATTTTTAAAACGTGTTTTAGAAGAATCTACCAGCCGTGGACCTTCTGTGCGTCCTTACAGCATACGCACCAGAGGTGGCAGCTAACGGCCCAGGACACCATAGCAGTGCAGGGTGAAGGGACAGGACACCCCTGCCAGAATCTTCATCGTCACCCGTGGGCTGCGGCTCACACTCTCAGCCTAGCCCAGAGAAAGAGGGCACCAGGGCAAAGATCAAAACCAAACATTTGTAGCGTGGTTCTACTTAACATATGTCATTTTAAACACTGCAGTAGCATTGAGAAGTTGCAAATCACACCATAATGATTTGTATTAACTGATGTCTCTTGCAGGTTCCTGGGATAATCTGGCCCCTCTGGCCTCACAGTTGTACCAATGGTTTGTTTGCAACCCCCTCTCTGGAAACCACACTCTCAGAAGGCAAAAGAAAAACAAAACCCCAGTAACAGCAAAAGAAGCCTAAGACATTTCCCCCCTCTTTCCTTAGACTAGTTAATAGAACAGACTGTAGAGAACCCAGGTGAAATGTCACTCTACTCAGCAGGTAAGGAGTTAACTGCCTTGTGAAGTGAGCAATGCAGTAGTCACAAAGCTGTCACCGATGTGGAACAGAGGAAAACCCCTGCCGCACAGACCTGTGCATGCCACAGCCATGGTCCCCAGGAATGTGATCAAATGGCATCTATCCTGGATTCAAAGGGCAGTTCAAAGCCTTTGTGGATATGTTGTAAGCTAAAATACATAACGATAGTTTTAGAATGTGTATAGTTGATTGGGAATATAAAGGTCAGCCAGAATGGAGGAGTCAATAAAGGGAGATGGGGCTGTTAATATGATCAAAATGCAAAATATACCATAAATGTATAAAATGTCATAATTAAATCAATTATTATGTGTAATTAACATATGGTGACACATCTTTAAAATGTATGAATGAGGTGTATCCGTCAGCATAGCTGGGTCCCCGATCTGCTCATAGGTTTGTTGTGTAAGCACAACTTTCTTGTGCCCCAGGTACCTTTTGGTCTATCCAGCCACCTTCATTAGCATCTCCTAGCTTGGGGGTATACATGCCATCCCATCTCCTAATAGAGATCAGCAAGTGTCTTGTGACCAGCAGTCCTCATCCAGCACAGTCCAGACAGCCATTTCCTCCTACTTGTCAGATTCTTCTGAAATTCTGGAAATACTGTAGAATATTTTCTATGTCTGATAAATGAAACAACAAACAGCAGCTATGTTTGTTTCATATGACATGGATCTCATTGCCTTATGCTGATACATAAAATTGGGTTAAATAGCTTTTCTCCCATTCCTAGGGCACAATGAAGATAAGTAAGATCCTAGGATAGATAAGTAAACAAACAAAGGAAAAAGGAAGAAACTAGTCAAGTCATGTATGGCATCATCAGTAATGATAATGCCACCCCAGGCTTTTTGCTGGGGAAAGTGGTGGAGTTTCTTCCCTCCCTCCCCCCTCCTTCCCTCCCTTCCTCATTCCCTCCCCCTCCTTCCTTTCTTCTCTCCCTTCCCTCATTATCTGTCTTTCCCGTTTTCCCTCTCTCCCTTTCCCTCCCTCTCTCCTTTCCTCTTTTCCTCTCTCCCCTCTCTCTAGCCCCCTTTCCATCTCCCCCTACCCCTCCTCCCTCTCCCATTTTTGCCTGTCACGGGCTGAACAGCTTTGCTGTGCCTCATGCTCCCTATCATGATGTGCTGTCTTGCAATGGAGCCAATCCACCACGAATTTGAACCTCTGGTGGCGGATGCTAATTCATGCAGTACACAGAGAAATAGCATTTGCCCTTCTAGCCTGAGATTATGGAAAGGTCAGATGTCAGGGTCCTCTTCTTCAGAGGAGAGGGTGACCTTTAGCATCATCAGATTAGCATGGAGGGCCCAAGAAGCCTTTGCTATGCTGGGCTACTGTGCTCAAGATGGAAGCCCCGTAGACAGTGGCATTATACCAGTCACATCAGCAACATCTCCCCACTCTGTAACAACAAAAAAGAAAATGCCCCTATGTAAAGCCAACTGAGTGTGAACTTTAATCACATTAATAAAGTATTTTCACATTAACGTCGACTTTAATGTTTGATTGCAAAGTGAGGGACTGTAGCCTGGTCAAGTTGATCCATAAAACTCACCATCCTGGCAACCAACTCAACTGCTGCATGTTATTACAACATACACCTCAATTTAGAGGTGTTAAATGCAGATTCGAAAGTGTATCTTAGGCTTGATGAAATGCAGCTCATTTTCTGGGTATGGTGTGAGTAAGGATTTGTAGTTTGAGAAGTTGGTCATTTTTGACTGCCTGTTTGAGGAGGAGAAGCCTGGGAATATCAAGAAACCATTCTCTGAAGGGTATCTGACCCAGGGCTAGAGTTTGCACCCATTTCCCTCGCACGCTCGTGTGGGGCACTTTCTTGTTTACTTTAAATGCCACAGTCTGTCTACCTTCCCTCACTATGCTCCCTATCAAAGGCAACGACATTTCCCAAGTGACTTGCCAAGGACTTCTGAGAAGTTTCAGCCAATGGGAGGCACCATAGGAAGACTAGAGGGTGGCTGAGGGAAGAAGCCATGGTATATTTTGGTTCTTGCTGTGCCCTGGGTTGAGTCATCTTGTATGGCCCTGTGTCCCCAAGGGCACCAACTTCACTGAACAGTCTCTCCTTTCTGGTTATATCTATCAAGCTGCTTCCATTCAGGTCCAGGTTTCCACTGTCAGTCATAGTTTGTGCACTATGACAGCAACATTTCATGGTTTCTTTTTTTCCCGCCCCGCCCCCATTTCATGGTTTCTTTAGCTGTGACAATGACTTTCTTTACTTGTCTCACTGTCCCCTAGGAGTGCATTCGGTTCTCCAGCTCCCTGCTTGACAAAGTCCTTGCATCAAACTGTTTCTGCTTGACACTCCTAGAGTGTTTCCTTGTTTTCCTTAGTGGACCCTAACTGGTACAGAAGATTTAAAAAGACATATTGATTACTGTATGGAAAGTCAGCTATTCAAAGATACAAATTTGGGCAAAAGCCACCATTTAAAACATAACTCTAAGAGGAAAATTATGAAAAGAGGATGGAAGGTTCTAAGCCTGGCATTGGTGGCACACACCTTTAATCCCAGCACTCGGGAGGCAGAGGCAGGAGGATCTCTGTGAGTTCAAGGCCAGCCTGGCCTACAGAGTGAGTTCTAAAACAGTAGAAGCACACCTGCTGGGGCTTGTGCACAGCTACTGAGCAGTGAGGAAATGCACAGCTCATTTGCCTTCTGGGCACATACTACACACAAAATTAGAATTATATTTGGAATCAGAGAGTGCGGTGGTTTGAGTGATAATAGTCCCCCTAGGCTCATATATTTGAATACTTGGTCCTCAGTTGGTGGAACTGTTTGGGAAGGATTAGTAGGTTTGGCCTTATTGGAGGAGGTGAGTTACTGGGAGCAGATTGTGAGGTTTCAAGAGCTTGTGACACTCCCAGTTAGCTCTGTCCCTCACCTTGTGCTTGTTGATAGGGATGTAAGCTCTCAGGGACTGCTTCAGCGCCATGCCTGCCTGCCTACTGCTATGTTCCTACCATGATGGTCATGGATTTTAACCCTCTGGAACCATGAGCCCAAATTAACTCTTTCTTTTATAAGTATTGGTTATGGCGTCTCTTCACAGCAATAGAAAAGTCACTAAGACAGAGAGCTAGGTTAGAATCATAGCTCTATTGCATGAACACTTCTGTGACTTGGGGTAAATCTCTTAGCACCACTGGGCTTCACTCTGCTCAGTTCTAAAGTGGAAATAAATGTCATAGGCTTTGTGAAACTGAGAGGAATTACACTGCTTGACATGTCTTCCCAAGTAGGATTCTTTTGTAACTCTGCAGGACATTAACACTCTAAGAGGGATGCTTGTCTTTCCCCTGATGCTCCCTGTCCCACCTCTTCCACCACTCCCCCCTTTCCTTCCCTCCCCTTCCTTCTATATAAAATAAATATTTTCAAATTCCTGTCTTTCTGCTTGGGCACTGTTGCTCACTCCTGTGATCCCAGCACTCAGGAAACTGAGACAGAAAGTCCAGGAGTCTGAGGCTAGCCTGGTTATATAGCCTGAGCTATCTATCAAGAGCCCATTACAATCAATCAATTGCTAAAACATACCTGTCTTTCTTTTAGTTGACATTCAACAAGACAAAAGAAGACATGGTGTTTTCTTATTATCATTCAATTAAAACAATCCTTGTCACTTCATAAAAGAGAATGGAATTGACTGGCATCTTTGTGTTTTATGAGGGACTAGTATTTGCTATTCAGTGGTAGCACAAGAAAGCCCAAGAAACACCTATACAACTAACCAAGCCTTCTAAACTAGTAAATAATTCCAGGAAGAACACTCTGTTTTTAATTAAAAATCTGTTTTCATACAATACACTTTATTATGGTCTTTCCTCTCCCACAACTCCCCCCAGATACCCATACCTTTCTACATACCAAACTTTATGTTCTCTCTCTTTCAAAAACAAAATAAAAACAATAATAAAAAATCACTAAGGCAAAAATTCCAAAACAAAACAAAAAGTACATAATGCAAAACAAAATAAAAAATGTGGAGTTTGTTTTGCATTGGCCAACTACTCATGGTCATGAGGCCTGCCCTGAAGTATGGTTATTTCAGTGATACTCTGTTGTAGAAAGCTGATTTTCCCTTTGCTAACAGGTGTCAATTGCAGATGGCTTCTTAGTTAGGGGTGGGATATCATGTTCACTCCCCCCCTCTCAATACTGGAACCCTTTCTGGCTTGAACCTGTGCAAACCTTGTGCCTATTACCACAGTCTTGTCCTTGGAAGACACTGTTTCCTTGCAGTTATCCATTACCTCTATATGTTACAACCTTTCTACCTTTTATTCTACATAGATCCCTAAGACTTAAGGGGAGGGGTTTAATTAAGAAATCCCATTATGGGCCGGGCGGTGGTGGTACACGCCTTTAATCCCAGCACTCGGGAGGCAGAGGCAGGCAGATCTCTGTGAGTTCAAGGCCGGGCTGGACCAACAGCCTCCAAAACAATACAGAGAAACCCTGTCTCATAAAACCAAAAAAAAAAAAAAAGAAATCCCATTATGGCTGAGTACTTTAAAATTTCTCCTTCTCTGCCTTAGAAATAGCCTAAATGTCCACTAATTGATGATTGATTAACGAAAATGTGATACATTTATACAACAGAATATCATCCAGCTGTTAAGAAAAATAGAATTTGCAGGTAAATATATTGAGGCACAAAAATCATGCTGAGTGAGGTAACACAGATGTCAAAAGACAATACTGTGTTTTCTCTTGTATGTGGATATTAGCACTTAAACTTCAAGTATTTGTGTCACAATCCAAATAATTACAAAGGTTAGTTCCCTAGTAAAGAACCAGAGTGGAGCAGAGGATCTCCCAAAGAAGGGGAAATAGAATAAAGTATTACAAAAAGAAGGAAAGCTGTACTAGAGTGATCAAATGAGGAAGGGATGGAAGAGAATGGTAAAGGAGGGAGTATAGAGAGGGACAACTAACACCAGAGGCCATTTGAAAACCATCTGAAAACCTACTACATAGACTCTTCCTAAAATATATACATACACAAAAGGAGCCTACATGGGGCCATGAAATAATAGGGGAGACAGTGCCCTAACTAGACAATTGATGCCACCAACTCAAACTTCCAGTACCGAGAAGTAGTTTGTTGAGTTGTTGGCCAATGGAACCCACCTCCTCAAACATCACAAGTTAGTGCTAAAGCTATTGTTTTCTTTCGACAACATGATGCTAAGGCCTTATTACTAAATACAACACTTACTTATATCATGGAGCACAGAGAAGTTGAGCTGGTGCCTAACTAGAGCTTCACCCCTGCTGACTAGCATTCATGGTACTGGAAGGTACTCTGCCCACTAGTGGGGGTTGGGAAGATATCATTATTTCCCAGCTACGAACAATGTGACCTACAATAGAGACCAGCATGTAAGACATATGTGCAATAGTGGCCCAAATGTTATGGGACTGATTAACCACTTTTTGATGGGATTTAAGGCCTACTCCATGAGATAGATGGACTATGTACCTGACAGTGCTAAGGTGGCCAAGAACTCGAGACTTAGATAAGTCATGGGCTTAGAGGAAAACCAAATACTATTTGTTTTGATAAAAGAACATAGCAATAACATGGCTCACAATGATATACTGCTAGAGTCTAGAGGCTAGGCCATCACACCAAAAGCAATTTACATATTCAATACAATCCTAATCAAAATACCTACAACATTTTTCACATAAATAGAAAAAAATCCTAAAATCCACGTGGAACCAAAAGAGACCCCAGAAAGTCAAAGCTTTTGGTAAGAAGGTCATTTTCACAATGTTGATTATACAAACCCACGAATATGAAATCTTTCAATTTTCTAGAGTGCTTTTCAATCTTTTTCTTGTGAGATTTGTCTCTTATGCTATTGTGAATGTGTG